AAGTGACCTTGGAAGATATATATCAATAAAATAATGGATACTAAATCAATCACAAAACTAACTAAATAAAATAATTTTAATCACACATATCATGCGATGTAATTCATCATAAAACTATAATTTTATTTAAATTATTGCACTTTTATTTTATATAATTAATTTTGTAATTGATTCCGTTCCATGATAGATATATATAACTATAGTCTATAGATGATGAAATGAAGGCATGGGGTGGGGTGGGTTGGGTCAATTCAACTCTCCCCCTTGTAAGTTGAAATCACCCCACCAATCTCAACCAAACAAAAATTATTAAGAAAATGGGAATGCCAAAGTCTACCCAATAGTACAACTCCCCCTCTCTCACACACACACCCTTTCAAAGCAAATGCAAATGGTCTGTGTCAGGATTTGCCTTTCCTTTGCCTCCACGTTGGTTTGTTTGCCTCTCCTTTGAGTTCATGCTATCATTCATGCTCTACTTCGTCTTAAACCTCCTTTAGCACATGTCCCCATTTCAAATCACCTCTCTCTCTTGTCTCTCACTCTATCACCTACCTTGTTTTTAAAAAAATCATCAAAAATAGATTTGGATACGAGGCATAGATGACAATGGATTTTTTTGGTACAGTTTATCTGAATTATTTATTATTTTATTTTATTAAGAGAGTATGTGTTAAATTGTTAATTTGGTGTAACTTTTATTTACAATTTTTTAGATCAAACATACTAAGGGATTGTTTGGGATGACCTAAATAAGTGTACTTTTTGTCTTTTTACGAAAAGATGTGCAGAAAAGTAGAGAAGTAATGTGATGAAAAAAAGATAAAAAGATGGATTATTCTGGATATGCCAAACTTGGCCTAAATAACTTAGCTTTATTAGAATCATATTCATTGTTCATCCTCAATGGCATTAATTAAATAGCTATGTCATGTTTCTCCCAAAAAAATAATAATAATAAATAAATAAATAAAAGTATTCAAAATATCGATCAGATTTATTTTGGGTGTGATGCATGTTACACTAAATTTAAATCTATATCATAGATTCAATAAGAACTATTTGAATAATAACTATTTTTGAAATATTTTCCAAATAGAAAACATTTATGTTAAGGGAAAATTATTTTTTAAAAAACCAAAAAATACCTCATTGACTCTTATAACAAAATAAATCCTGAGTTTTTTATTTTGTCAATTTAAAATCTTAAACTTTTGATTTGTTTTCAATCTAAACCATTTACTTATTTTCATAAATAAAATCGATGAAAAAATAATATTTTAGTCATTAAATTCAATGAGAAATGGTATTTTTAGACATTTTATATAAATTTACATTGAATTTAATAATTAAAATACACTTTTTTGATTGGTTTTACTTAACAAAAATGAATAATGTTTACATTGAAAACAAAGAAAAAAATTTAAATTTAAATTGATGAAATTTAAAATTTATTTTTGTTAAAAGACTAAAATTTTGAATTTTTTTATAATTATCCCTTATCTATCTATACTATATATTAAGCAAAAGAGAGTTTTTAACCCTAAGCCTTGTGGGAGCTCCAATCTCCCAATCTAAATTTCTTGATTTTTTTATTTAAAAAAAAAAAATCCTAACATTTATTAACTTCTCCCAACTCCCAAGTCACCTTCATAATAATACTTTAATGCATTAAGAACAAGCATAAAAAAAAATTCTTTGAAATCCAACACATATGGATTCCTTGAAAAGTCTCAACACATATTATTATTATCCCTCATAATAACACTTTAATGCATTAAAAACTGTTAAGCATAATGCTCAGGATGAGGCTCAAGCTGACTCTGCAACAGCTGCACCAGCAGCACTAAAGCTCCTCAGCTGCAACAGCTTATAGTTTATACAAGATAGCAGCTGTATAAGTTTGTAGTACAGCTCAGCTAAAGGTTGTAGGTTGTTAGCAGGTTGTTAGTTTAATAGTTAGTTTGTTAGAACTAGAGTTAGATTGCAGTTATGGTTAGGTTAGGAGGTTAGAAGTTGTAGTTAACAAATAATTGTTTCTCTATAAATACAAGTTCTGTAGTTCTATCTTGTATTGAATAAAAAGAATCAAATTCTCTTTATGGTATCAGAGCTGTTAAGCTCTTGCGAGCAGAAATCCTTTGAGATATTTTGGCGACATTGCTATGGCTTCTTCAAACCTTACACCTTCAAATTCTTCTTTACCTGCAAATCTTACACTCTTAATTTCAAACCTGAATGCTTTTGTGCCTACGAAACTTGATTCAACCAATTATATTGTCTAGAAGGGTCAGATTCATAACATCTTGAAAGCTACAAAGCTTCTTGGATTTGTTGATGGTACTATCATATGTCCATCTTCTATTGTTATTGATTCAAACAATCAAGAAGCTCTGAATCCAGATTACACACAGTGGATCACTATTGATTCACATCTGTTGAGTTGCATCACAGCTACATTGTCTTCTTCTCTCTACACTTCTGTTATTCATTGTCAGACTAGCAATGAAGTCTGGTCTGTTCTTGCCAAAAGGTTTACATCTCTTTCGAGATCTCATATTCATCAGTTGAAAAATAAACTCAGTCGTATTGTTAAAAAAGGTTCAACAATGGAAGACTACTTGAATCAATTCAGGTCCATTTCAGATCAGCTTGCTCTAGCTTCAGCACCAGTTGACGATGAGGATCTAGTGCTCTTAGTTCTTAATGGTTTGTCAGATGAATGCAATGCTTTCAAGACCACAATTAGAGCTCGATCTGATCCTATTTCCATGGAAGATTTGTCTTCCTTACTGTGTTCAGAGTCTATTCATATTGAGTCTTCCCTGAAACTGACTCATACAGCTGAAATTCCATTTGCCTATTCTGTAACAAGAGGAAACTATAAAGGAGGTAACAGAGGAGGTCATCGAGTTTCTTTTAGAGGTAGAGGTTACTCTCCTAGAGGTTCAGAAGTTTTCAGAAGTTCCGAAGGTTCCAGAGGTTCAGAGAGTAGTGGTAGGTTCCGAGGCAGTTCACAGCATGGTAGTCCTCTCAGAGGTAGTGGTCAATATCACAGAGGTAGGCCCAACTTTAACCCTAATAATGTTGTGGTTTGTTAGATCTGTGGAAAGCTGAACCATACTGCACTAGACTGCTGGTACAGAATGGATTCATCTTTTCAGAATAGTTCACAGATTCATAATAGTTCACAGAATAGTCCACATCAATCCTCATTTATTCAAACCAGTCCCACAGCCTATATTGCTTCTGCCTCACCTTCATCTGTAGCATCCACACCTTCATCCTCTTCAAACTGGTTTCTTGACTCTGGTGCAACCAGTCATATGACTAATGATCTTGCTAATTTCTCCTCTTATCATCCCTATTCTGGACAAGATCAAGTTGCTGTCGGTGATGGCTCCACTCTATCTATCACTCACACTGGTAAGGGTCTTCTTCCCACACCTACATTTCCTTTTCAACTTCACAATCTCCTTTATGTTCCTTCTATCTCCTCCAACTTACTTTCCATTCATCAACTAACTAAGGACAACAAATGTACTGTTACTTTTGATTCTCATTCTTTTCTGATTCAGGACAAGGCTACTTAGAAAGTGCTGCATAGAGGATCTTATGCTCATGGCCTCTATCCCCTTTCTTCATTAACTTCTGCATCTTCTTCTTCACCAGCCTGCTTCTCCTGTACAAAGCAGTCTGCTGCATCTAACTGTCCAAAGCAGTCTGCTGCATCCAACTGGCATTTACGGCTGGGTCATCCTTCTTCTCAAAAATTTCAGCATGTTTTAGCACACAATAGATTCATGCATTCATCTCCTGTACATAATTCTAATAATAACTCTGCTCTGTGTGAATCCTGCTGTGTGGCAAAAAGTCATAGATTACCTTTTTGCTTGTCTGACTCTACTGTTAACAAGCCTTTAGCCCTTATTCACACAGATGTTTGGGGCCCCTTTTCAGCCTCTTATTCTGGTTATAAATACTATGTTCTCTTCATTGATGATTGTAGTAAGTTCACTTGGATTTTTCCTCTTCATTATAAAAGTGAAGTTTTTTCAAAATTTCTGGAATTTAAGGCCTTTGTTGAAACTCAATTTACTACTCATCTTCAAATTTTAAGAAGTGATAATGGGGGAGAATACCTTAGTCTTCCTTTTCAAAACTTTCTTAAACAAAAAGGTATTGTTCATCAATTAACATGTCCTCATACACCTGCTCAAAATGGTGTTGCAGAAAGAAAACACAGACATTTAATTGAAACCACTATCACTCTTATGCATCATTCTTCCATGCCATTGATTTACTGGTTTGATGCTCTTGCTACTGCAGTTTTCTTGATCAATAGATTACCTACTCTTAAGTTGCAAAATCATACACCATTTGAAGTTCTTTTTCATCACAAACCAGATTATCAGTTCTTAAGAGTTTTTGGTTGTAGGTGTTATCCTTGGTTAAAGCCTTATTCTTCTCATAAGCTCCAACCAAAATCTATTCCCTGCATCTTTCTTGGCTATCAACCATCTACTAAGGGCTATAGATGTCTTGACCCTCTTACTCAGAAGATCTATGTGTCTAGACATGTTGTGTTTGATGAATCTCTTTTTCCTTTTAAACAATCTTCCTCTAGCTTTCCTTCATCTATCTCCTCCTCTGTTCCTACTCTTCCTTCTTTAATTAATTTTTTCTGGACATCACTTCCTCCTAAATCTGCAGTCGTATCTCCTCTGGCTGCAGAGGCTTCTTCTACATCTGCAGCAGCCCTTACATCTGCAGCAACACCTATTTTGTCTGCATCACTTTCTCCTATATCTGGAACAGCCGCACCTACTCTGTCTGCAGCAACTCTTCCTACTTCTGCGGCTGTTCCTTCTTTGTCTACACCAGCTTCTCCTTCATCTGTAGCCCCTTCATCACTTCTGTCTGCTCCTCCTTCTTCTTAATTGCCTATTTCATCTCTCTACATTGATCTTCCTCCAATCTCTTCTTCTTATCCTCATCCTATGATCACTAGGTCCAAGAGTAAGAATCATGTTGCTTTTTCTTCTTCCCTTTGTCTTCTTGCTTCTGCAGCATCTGCAGATTCCACTGAGCCACAGAATTATCAAGCAGCTGCTCAGTCTCCAACTTGGCAAGCTGCTATGTTAGATGAATATCAAGCTCTTCAAAAACAAGGTACTTGGTCTTTAGTTACTCTTCCTCCTGATAAACAAGCTATTGGCTGCAAGTGGGTATTTAGGCTCAAGAGAAACTCAGATGGTTCTATTGCAAGACACAAAGCTAGACTTGTTGCTAAAGGCTTTCTTCAAACTAAGGGTGTAGATTATCATGAAACATTTATAGAGAAACAACTATTTGTTAACTATAACTTCTAACCTCCTAACCTAACCATAACTGCAATCTAACTCTAGTTCTAACAAACTAACTATTAAACTAACAACCTGCTAACAACCTGCAACCTTTAGCTGAGCTGTACTACAAACTTATACAACTGCTATCTTGTATCAACTATAAGCTGTTGCAGCTGAGGAGCTTTAGTGCTGCTGGTGCAGCTGTTGCAGAGTCAGCTTGAGCCTCATCCTGAGCATTATGCTTAACAGCCCCCGCAAACTGAGAGAAGTGGGAAACACCAGAAGTTTGCCCTGAAGGTATTGAAATCTGGAAACTGAGAGAGGCTTTGTGAGAATATCTGCAATTTGGTCAGTTGAAGCAATATGACAAATAGCAAGTTTCTTGGCAGCAACTTTCTCACGAACAAAATGATAATCGACTTCAATATGCTTAGTTCTAGCATGGAAGACTGGATTGTGAGCCAAGGCAATTGCAGACAAGTTATCACACCATAAGGTAGGAACAGCCACAGAGACATGAAGTTCAACAAAAAGCATGCGAAGCCAACTCAACTCAGCAGATACCTGAGCTAAAGCACGATATTCTGCCTCAGATGAAGATCGGGAAACTGTTGGTTGCTTTTTAGCACACCAAGAGATGAGATTGGGACCAAGAAACACACAGTAACCTGTGGTGGACCGTCTATCAAGAGCACTGCCAGCCCAATCAGAGTCTGAAAATGCATTGAGAACAAGAGGGCCAGAGGTGAAATGCAAGCCATGACTTAAGGTACCCTTGAGATATCTGAGGAGCCGTTTAACAGCAGAAAAATGGCTATTCAAAGGGTTTTGTAAAAATTGACACAGATAATTAACTGTAAAGCTGAGATCAGGTCTGGTAAGTGTAAGATATTGGAGAGCACCCACGAGGCTTCTATAAAGACTAGGATGAGAAAAAGAGGAGTCCATCTCAGGAAGAACAACCTTAGTAGCCATGAGAGAAGAATATGGTTTACAATCATGTATGCCTGCCTTTGCAAGAATTTCAGAAGCATATTTTGGCTGAGACAAAATGTAACCTGAAGGAGAAGAAGTAACAGAGATACCAAGAAAATAGTTGAGTAAACCCAACTCTTTCATGGAAAAAACTGAGTGCATATGTTGAACAAGAGTAGAGATATAGAGAGGATCACTCCCAGTAAGAAAGATATCATCTACATAAACAAGTAAAACAGTAATGGAAGTAGAGGTGTGTTTAACAAACAAAGAGGAGTCACAATGACTAGAAACAAAATCATGAGAAAGAAGAAAAGAAGAGAAAGTGGAGAACCAAGCTCGAGGAGCTTGTTTTAAGCCATAGAGGGCCTTGTGCAATTTACAAACAAGGGATGGATGATTAGCATCAATAAAACCTTGAGGTTGATGCATATAAACTTCCTCTTCAAGAATGCCATGAAGAAAGGCATTTGAAGTGTCAAGTTGCTTAATAGGCCAATGAAAATGAAGGGCTAGACATAAGAGAACTCTGATGGTAGGTTGTTTAGCTACAGGACTAAATGTTTCATGAAGCATAAAAAAAATTTCTTTAAAAGTCCAACACATATGATTATTATCAAAACATTAAACTTTAATATAATATAAAAAAAGAAAAAAAAACACATTTAAAAATCGCAATTCACATATATAGATAATTGTAAATATATTAAGGAAAATGGGGTTTCTAAACCCCAAGCCTTGTGAGAGCTCCAATCTCTCAATCCTAATTTTCTAAATTTTTTATTTTAAAAAAAAATCTCAGCATTTGTTGATTTGGCCAAAATCCCTTAATCAGTATTTATTAACTTTTGCCAATCCACATGCCTGTATTTATTGATTTGGTCAAAATCCCTGATTAGCATTTAAAATCCCCTCATACAAATAATTATAGATACAACCCGTGTATAGTTACTGCAGTAGTCTTTTTAATTTCTCATGTACACTATTGGTAATGATAAGATTGCTAAATTATTTTTATAAAAAATCTTAAAAAACATAATTTATATATTAAAAAAAATTAAAACAAATATAAATATTTATAATTATCCCGTGTATAGCACAGGTGATAGGCTAGTACTATATATTAAGTAAAAGGGAATTTTTAACCCCAAGCCTTGTGGGAGCTTCAATCTCCCAATCTAAATTTCCTGATTTTTTTATTTAAAAAAAAAAAAACCTTAGCATTTATTAATTTCTCCCAACTCCCAGGTCTTACCCTCGTAATAACACTTTAATGCATTAAGAACAAGCATAAAAAAAATTGTTTGAAATCCAACACATATGAATTCTTTGAAAAGTCCCAATACATATGATTATTATCCCTCATAATAATACTAACAAGCATAAAAAAATTTCTTCAAAAGTCCAACACATCTATACTTACTATATATTAAGCAAAAGGGGGTTTTTAACCCCAAGGCCTGTGGGAGTTCCAATCTCCTAATCCTAATTTTTTAATTTTTTGATTTTTAAAAAAAAAACCTCAGCATTTATTGACTTCTCCCAACCCAACCTCAGCATTTATTAACTTCTCCCAACCCACGATCTCTTTTGACTTCTCTCATAATTATTGCAACACCCTTTTCAATTTCTCCCATACACTATGGTTACACACAAAAATAAAAATAAAAAATATAAGAATTTAGCTATAGATCTCAAAAATATATAACATCTAAATTTGAATTATGATTTAATAATATAATTATGTATTTTTTTATGTATATTTATCAAAATTTTAAATCACTTAATGACATAAATTAATCAATTTTTCAAAATTAATGATTTTTAATTTACAAAATAGATTAAAAAAACTATTGACTGATTTGTTTATTTAATAACAAAAATATTTCATAATCCCTCCCTCCTAAGCTCTCTCACAAATTTTCAAAAAAAAAAATATTAAAACCTGCATTCAGTTTCTCTTCCTCAAAAAATCAGATAATATTTTTTATTAAAGTTGTAGATATCTACCTATATTTTATATATTATGTTATAACATAACAAAAAAACTATAAAATTAAAAAAAAAAATCTTTAAAGTTTATCTAAATAAACTTTAAATCAATAAAACTCACATGTCTATTACATATCTAACTCACATCATAACTTACCTAAATAATAATAATTAAAAACAAATAGAAACCACATATAAATTAAATTAAAAAAAAAAAGATACCCACAACTCCATCTTAAATAAATTGAAAAAAAAATACCCGAATAGAAACCACACAAAAATAAAAATAAAAATAAAAAGATATATCTATCTATCTATCTATATATATTAAGAAAAATGGGGTTTCTAACCCCCTAAGTCTTGTGAGAGCTCCAATATCCCAATCTAAATTTCCTGATTTTTTATTTAAAAAAAAAAAAACATTAGCATTTATTAACTTCTCTCAACCCTCAAGTATAAAAAAAAAATCTTTGAAAAGTCCAACATATGAATTCTTTGAAAAGTCTCAACACATACGATTATTATCCCTCATAATAACACTTTAATACATTAAGAACAATCATAAAAAGAATTTCCTTGAAAAGTCCAACACATATGAATTTCTTGAAAGTCCAACACATATGATTATTATCAAAATATTACACTTTAATATAATATAAAAAAAAAGACATTTAAAAAAAAGAACATTTAAGAATCACAATTCACATCTATAGAAATAATTGTGAAGTACATGTAAATTCCTTGAAAAATCCAACACATAATTATTATCACTCATAATAACATTTTAATGCATTAAGAACAAGCATGAAAAAAATTCCTTGAAAAGTCCATCACATATGAATTCCTTGAAAAGTTCAACACATATGATTTGTATCAAAATATTAAATTTTAATATAGTATGAAAAAAGAAAAAAAAAAGACAAAATGGTGAAACACAACCCGTGCATAGCACGAGTGATATGCTAGTATGATTATTATCAAAATATTAAACTTTAATATAATATAATAAAAAAAAGAAGACATTTAAGTCCAACACATATGATTATTATCAAAATATTAAACTTTAATATAATATAATAAAAAAAAAGAAGACATTTAAGTGATTATTATCAAAATATTAAACTTTAATATAATATAAAAAAGAAAAAAAAAAGATATTTAAAAATCACTATTCACATATATAGATAATTGTAAATATATTAAAAAAAAATGGGGTTTCTAAACTCCAAGCATTGTGGGAGTTCCAATCTCTCAATCTTAATTTTCTAAATTTTTTATTTAAAAAAAAAACCTCAACGTTTATTGATTTGATCAAAATTCTCTGATCAGTATTTATTAATTTTTTCCAATCCACATGTCTGCATTTATTGATTTGGTCAAAATCCTATTAAACTTTAAAATAATATAAAAAAGGGAAAAAAAGACATTTAAAAAAAAATTAAAAATCACAATTCACATATATAGATAATTGTAAACACAATCTGTGCATAGTACAAGTGATATGCTAGTTATTATTAAGAAAAATGGGATTTCTAACCCCCAAGCCATGTGGGAGCTCCAATCTCTCATTCTTAATTTTCTAAATTTTTTATTTAAAAAAAAAACCTCAACGTTTATTGATTTGATCAAAATTATCTAATCAGCATTTATTAATTTTTTTCAATCCACATGCCTGCATTTATTGATTTGGTCAAAATCCCTGATTAGCATTTAAAATTTCCTCATACAAATAACTATAGATACAGCCCGTGTATAGTTACTGCAGTAACCTTTTTAATTTCTCCTGTATACTATAGTTAGTGATAAAATTGTTAAATTATTTTTATAAAAAATCTTAATAAGCATAATTTATATATTAAAAAAAATTAAAATAAATATAAATATTTATAATTATTTCTTACATAACATGAATGAGAGGCTAGTGTTAATTAAATGAATTCTCATATTTCAACTTTTTTCAGGTTTTTCAACTTCCCATCACATGCACCTCTTCTTTTATCATCTTTGGGATTATGAATCTCCCCCAACCCACTTCCCAAGGTTTAATTATTTTAGAGTAACTTGTTAACATCACAGAGTATCTATGAATCCACATGTAAAAACCAAACCATCTGGACCCATGATACGGGTCCTCTAGGGACAATGGAAAGACGTGCCACAATCTTTACTTGATTCTGTGTCCTACTGGCCTGCCTTGTGCCGGACTCATTGGTGTCAAGCTTCCAATTCTTTGGGAGATTTTACAATAATTCAAATTACTCAAAAGATTTAATTAGAATTTTATCAAAATATAGAGTATAGGATATAAATTAAAGTCATGAATGTGTTGTGAGACATATTTATAATGAATTTTAAATTTTAAACAATGAATTAAATAACAACAATTAAATCGCTTCTATTTAAAGATTTTAATTTCTATATTATTTTACTCTCTTAAATGTGATTGAAAAGTTAATATTCAATTTGAAATAGGACAAGACAAATTACACGAACAACAAGTAAAATTTGCTCAATAAATTTCTTATCACTAGAAACAAATATATTAACTCTCACATATATATAACATTACATTTGTTTTTCCTTGTTGGAGCGAACTAATAAAAAGTTGATTATTCAAAGTATGGGAACATAAAAGAATTCAGAACTCTTTAATTGGTTGGCAAAAAAATATAAAAAGAAAAAAATAATAATAATTAATAAATCTTTCGATGTTCATTCAAAAGATTTTAACAAAAATGGTTCCAAAAAAATCAAAAAGTTGGTTTGAGAAAAATAAATAAATTTTTCTTAACAATAAAGACAGTAGGGTATGAATGGATACTCAACAACCCACTTACTTAAAGAGGCCCATATCCAATTAGCACTGATTGGGTTGACGGTTTAGACCCAATCAATGGGCCCACATAAATAATAGTTTGTAAGAAAAATTGCACCATTTTAGATTTGTTAACACCAATTATGCCATACTATATATATATATATATTAAATATATAAATATCTTGTGGTAAGAATTAAATCCTTAATATCACTTTTCTTTTAGATGGTATGCTAGCTAGTAGTTTAATCATCATACTCCAATGGCTTAGGCAATCTTAATTTTATTTTATTTTTATTTTTTTTGGTCTTATTTTGATTTTTCTTTTTTTAATTA